GTCAAGTCCAATTATGTTTCTCCTTTTGGGTGAAAAAAAAAAATACACAAATTGTATCTTGTTTTGGTGGTGAAGCAATAACCTTTTAGGTAACATTTAACAGTAAACATGAACACTTCATTTCAAATTGCATGCATCAGTTTACTAAAGTAAAACACAACCATAAGCTGGAAAGCACCAGCATTCTTTCTGAGTGGAAATCCAATACCTGTGAAGCACAAAATAGTTGACAGTAGCATGAACAACAGCAACACACTGTCACGGAGGTGTGCTTAAATTAGTCACATGATAACAGCAGAAGCAGAGATCAGACATTTAAACTTTCATGAACAGCAGGTCCATGATTTCTCATTAACAACTACGATTTCTGACAGGCGGTTCAGTCCAAAATGAGATTGTGGCCTTTCACTAATATGATCAAAACAAATTAAATAATTTCTTCTGCCTGAATGAATATACAGTATTTCTCAGTTAAGAAATGACTGCATGAATTAGGCTCATTATTATTTATTATTTTAAAAACCATGAAGTTTTGGACTCCACCACAGTTTCTCTATGCTCATACATTTCTGCTCAGAGCATCTAGTCTTCACCTCTGACATGGGTTATAAATGCAAACCAAACAACACAAAACAAACCCCAAACTAAAAATAGTTTTGGAAAGCAGAGTTCAGACAATGTTCAGTCAATTACTCCAGGTCACAGAGGGAAGCCATCATCATTTGTCCTTGTTAACCAGCTTCTACATGGGAAACAGATGCTTCAGTAATGAAGGATCATCTTTTTAAACGTGTGTATTTTAGCTATAACAAGTACGAGTGAAGAGATAGATATGCTGAACAACTTCAAAAGACACACAAATTAGGACTAATCCAAACTCAGAGGGCTGTTTGCAGCGGAGGAGCAGTTTTTCAACTCCAACCACTTAATTAAAAAACTGTGCAAGACCATATGTGTCATCATACTGTGCACAGTATTTTTTTAATGAAACAATAAGAAAATGGTAGACGTAAATGTCAGACAGCATCTGTCATTGAAAAGTAAAATACTCAAAACCTGGATAAATGTATAGCAAGATGTTTCTTTTCTGTCTCGAGCCTGTTGGTACAAGCAATGGGCGTTGTATAATTAAGACAACTTGAACGACGTGTAACCGCGTGACCTGTGAGCCACAAGCGAAACGAAACCCACTTAACGCATAATACAGACATGACAGGTCAAGATTCCCTAGCAACACTCAGACACATATAACATCTGTTTAACACAGCCTGTAGACAATAAGGGTGAGGAGATCGCTTAAAGGTCACACTGACCAGGATCAAGATGTAGCCAAAGAACACAGTGACGAGTAGCTATTCAGCCACTCGGTGATGTGTAGTTCTGAGGTAAAAATCCTTCTCTGTGTGCATGAGCATTAACACCGTTTAAAGACACCCCTTCACAACATTTGACAATGATGAGTTTTTTTGTTTTTGTTTAGGTTTTTTTTTTTGTTGTTGTTGTTCTTTTACGATGCTTTGGCCGACAGACCAACCCCGACTAGCCGGTCTCCTTCCTTGTTGGATTCGACCCAGAGGAGCCACAGGCCGGCCTTGTTTTTGCCGAAAAACACCTCACCACCATTAGCAGCTACAGCGTCAGGACATCCTAAACACTGACAAGTGGGCAGACATTATACATATAAAGAGTTTCTTGTCGTCTCAAAAACTTACTTTCAGCTCGTAACACACGGTAGAAGAGACTTGCTGACCGTATCGAAGCCGGCTGCGAGAAAACTAGCCGTTGTTGTGCAGCGCAGCTAGCGTCAGTTGCTAACTAGGCGTTACGTTAGCTAGCGTTGATTTGGCAATGTCCCGTTTGAGATTCTCAGAAAAGTTTCTGACGTCGACACCAACAAAAATCGTGTCGTAAATTCACGAGGTAATTTATCTACAAATAGTGTTTAAATTTGGCACTTGCCTTAAGGCTTGCCTGCCTACAAGCCACCCAACCAGCTAACTACTTAGTTCTCCCTTGTCTTCTTTCACTTCCGCCTCCCAAACAACGCTTGTGCCCTACGTCAGACGTAAACAGCCAATAACAACCCCTTCTGAAATATTAATTAAGGCCCGTATAACTTCTCTATCCTCGACTTTCACAGCCCATTAAATGCCACAGCTCGGGTCTTTTCAGAGAAAACATTAATATTAGTACTGATTCTCAACCCTGTTGCCATTCATATAAAACAAACATGACAGATACGTATTAAAAACATTAAAATAATATTAAACTCAATTGTCCTAATTTTACCCATTTTATTTTATGGATTTCTTAGCTCACAAAGTTTTAGACTACTGCCTTTTAACAGTTTGAATTATTATTTGTGGCTGTGTCTATGGTGTATTCGGGCAAATGTTTGAAAACAAAAAACTGAAATCAGTGAAACAAAAAAGTATGTGACTATGAAAAGTGAAAATTTGGGCAAGGTTGATTTAGAAACTTGCCTAAACTCCTACTAAGTGTAAGCTGAAACTGAATTAGTATTCAGTATGAGTGTGACTAGCTTTAACTTAGTGGTCAAGAAATTAATATTTTGTTCAATAAAGTTTTCAAGTTTCAGAGTATTGGTATTAGGGTTGCACCAAACATAATACACAACAACTAACATATTATAAAATACTGTAAAACATTTAAAATTCTTTAAGCGTAGATTGTTTTCGAATTGCAAAATTACCCAGGCTTTGAGCACAAATGCTAACCTGCTGATGTTATGTATTGATAGATTACAGTAAACATTAAACAGGCAAGTTGCCAAGCTTTCAGTTAAAAATTAACTCCCACACTGAGTCAGATCTGACCACATCATCACCCTGACTCGCATGATTTTTATCAGGTGTGTGCTTATTGTCCTGGTTGCGTTTTTTTCACAAGACCTGACTTTGCACTAGATAGGTCCCACTGGATGACATAACAGATAACTGGGCTAAACCTGACAAGTCTGTAGCCTGGATATATAATAGAAAGCCATGTTGGAGCTTTGTAGTCATTCTGATGCCCCTTAATGCAGACTCAAGTAATTACAGTTCCCTAAATTGATAATAAATCGGCTTCAGAGCTGCTGTTCCACTTTATTCAAAAACACAAACAATATTTTAAATCTTCTAACATAATGAGTGAGATGATGAGCTGCATATTCCAAGTAATTCTACATAACTTTTACAAAACATCCAGTGAACATGAGCATTTTTTTTTCAGTGGGAAACAACATTCTGGGGAGGCACCTTGAACTGATCTTAACTAATCTAACTCTCAAAACCTCCAACTACCATTTTTTTTCATTGTATGATTAAGATGATATTCTCCTAAGAACCAGCCTATTCATTTATGTGATGGACATTTGTTTTTGGGTTATATCTTTTGACTTATTTGAGCAACCCTACTAAGTCCTGGTGTACTAAACAGAGGACATCCTGGTCTTTCCATTGATATCTCATGTATTTGGGTGGCCTCTTTTAGCTCCAAAGAGGAAGGAAATCACAAAATAAGTTCAATATGAAGATTCTTATCCTTGGTTCTTAGGAGGATATGTTAGAGTTGTCATTTTAATTATAGTGCATTATTACACTCCACCAGTGAGTCATCTAAGATAATGGTTGGATGGATGGAGTGAGTAGTCCACCACTAGAGGGCAGTGGAAATTCATTTTGAACAGAAGAACCAAGCGAACTAATGAACTCAGACCTTTTTCAAATGCATGCTGTCACTCTGTAAAACAGTAAATTTAACATTAATATTTTTCCTATTACTTCTCATTGGCTGTTAGTGTTATTTACTATATTGTCAGTTTTACTCACATGAATTATCTCTTACAGAAGTGCAGTCATGAAAACGAAAGTCTTCACAGGACTCTATTAAGTTTTTTGAAAAACAAAGTACACCCTTACTACTTCCACAGGAATTAAGTAGCAGCAGGATCTGCTAATCACGTACACTTGATTAATTGATTATTATCCCCTCTATGAAAGCAGAGGTGTTTGTAGTTTGCCTTGTTTGGAGTATTCAGGTGAGTCTTAACAAAATACCACTATCTTCCCAAAAGTGGACATCCCAGAAAATTCACACTAATGTTGACACATATTTAAAAAATTAAAGAAAAGCTAATGAAAAAAACAACAAAACAAAACATGAAGCACACCTCAGGCTCTACAGGCCTCGAATGGCATGTCAAATGCTAAAGTTCATGGAGCAACACAGTAAAAAAAAGGTGGGCCTAAATTCCTCCAGATTGATATGAGATACTAGTAAAGTCATACAGAAAATGTCTTTAAAAATGGTTTCACATTAATATATCATCTCTCCATACTAAATGTCGTATGTGCATTTGTTCTCCTCATTACTGGAAGCGTGCCTCTGTAGAATCTTGATGACTGGGATGACTCTGGTGTTTATAGAGAAATTCCTCCATTCTTACACCTATTGAATCTGGAGTCTTTATGGCCTCTTTGTAAATACAAACACTGCAACACAAAAGCGTGTGAGCTAGAAAACGGTTCATGGGTGGGAAGGCGCCACATACTTGGAGCATCTGCTGGATTTTCATCCTTGCAAACACTGTCGCATTTGCACCTTGATGATGGCAAAACGTAAGAGCTGCTCAAGGTGGGACACATCGTTTATATCATTAGGACAGACATATCAGCAAGGTGTAGAGTCTATTAAATCATGAGAGACAGCCATCAAAGTGCTTGTGTGTTTGAGATATAACGGCACTTTCATTCACATTCTTAGTGCGTGTATGTGTAAACATGCATCTCTGTGTGTGGCTGTGTGGGAGGGGAGGAGAGGCAATGAGATGAGTTAAGGAGATGAACAGATTGTGTGTGTGTGTGTGTGTGTGTGTGTGTGTGTGTGTGTGTGTGTGTGTATTAGGGGGTGGGTGCATTAGTCCGTGTCAGACAGCAAAGAGTGCCGCATTTATCTAGGAATCTGAGCCAAAGCAACCTCACTAGCAGGAGCACGAGAAAGGGGACAACAAGTGAGATGATCTGAGAAGAAAGAAAGAACATGAAAGAAACCCAGAGAAGAAAACACAAAATGGACAAGGACATGACTATGAAGATCTAATTTTCCCTCTTAAAAAAAGGACAAAGTCAGCAAAGTCTATTTGCCTGAAGAGGCACTGCTTGATGAGCTGAAGGAAAGTGAAGAGAAAGTTTGCAGGGAATCGTCAACACAAAGCAACTACTTGGAGGAACAACGTTGGACCACGGTTTAAAACATTTTTCCATGTTTCCTTTCAGTTCCTTTAAGTTTAGCATGCTTCCTCTCCTCTATGTGGGAGTGCTGCTATCCTTAGTTGCCTCTCCAGCCTGTATAAATCCTCCCTGCAAAGATAATCTAGTGGCCTCACCCATCCAGCCTGGGACTGGAGCTGCAGGTACCGGGGCTTGTGAGGGTCAAACTGGGACAACTGCCTGCGGGACAGGGGTTTCACTTGCAGCAATCTCGGACATCCCTCGGAAAGTGGAGCACAAACATGAAATACCCCAGTTTCAGTACAAGGTAACTGACATTTTATACAGTACTTTTCATTGTGTGTGTGTGTTTGTGTTTTTTCACAGTTCTCAGCTTAAAAATCCTAAAATCTCAGAGGGGCCAGAAACAACTCTTAAACAGTCAATTAACTCCAGCAGCCTGGGAGACCTTAAAGTTTACCTTTTTACTCATCGTGTTGTAGTGAGAGTGAGCGGCATACTACCAAACTCATGCCAGCAGGTTCTTTCTCATGGAACGACTTGGCACCACCTTCCAGCCAGGGAACAATAACCGTCAGCAATCAAAGAAGGGACAAAATTAGGTTTGCTTTAAAAATATCCTCATCATATGGCTGTGCTGAGCTCATGCAGGAACAGGTGTGTTAGGGACATGATTAACATGGGTGATGTAAGTGTAAGAGACACACTGTGACACAAAACTGAGCTGTCGGTTATGTGTGAGGATGTGTGGATGATATTTATGCACATGCACAGCTTTATTTTTAGACTTTTTATGCATGACTGAATAACACTAAGGAGTGCTGAATCATTTCTGACTTTCACAAAATGATTTAGATATATCTGTGTCACTGTCTAGCAGACTGGGGTTGTCAGAGAGCGCCTGGTTCAGCTGCAGCGCTGCATGCGCTCTGTCCAGGATACTGGGGGACCTTGGAGTCACGAGGGCCAGGAGAGCAATTCTCTTGGGGCCATCCTGGCTTTAATGGCAGCTGTGCTGACAGAGTGTGACCTCCACTGTCACAGCCAGGCGCTTGGGGCAATGGCTAAACGACTGGGTAAGTAGTACACCTTTATATCCCCAATCTCTGCAACACACAAACATGCACACACATAAATGCCAGTGCAGTCGCTCCCCCACACATAGTAAACAGAACCTCAATGAGACCTGCTAGGCATCAGTCATAGGTGAGTTCATAGGAATTTAACTGCACTAAGAAGCATGGCAAAAACTCTGTATACATGCACACACAGATGCACAGACACATACGGTATAGCTCACAAAGCGAAAAAGCCTTGAGAGCGCTATCATGCATCCTCTCTGTGAGGTATACAGGGGAGCATCTATTTTCAGCCCCTGACGACAGCGTGACTGGCCTCACTGATAACCTAATCTATCTCTTGGTTGGCAGAGAGCGCAGCGGTGGGGAGAGAGGGGGAGAAAGACTTGCTGCTTTTCCTCAAGAGCATCACTCAACATCCACCCACAGGTGAGGGCATTACAGGTAGCTACGTGAATTGTTGTTCATTTATAAGCAGAAAATGCACTGTGTGTGCCCTAGTTGCCCCCTTGGAGAGGCTACATCCTCGGGACTGTGCAGAGATTTACACGCTGGGGATCAAAGAGAATGGAATCTACACCATCCAGCCTGACCTGAATGGGCCGGCACTAGAGGTATTTCAGATTCACCGCACTCATAAATGAGACAGACATATCACCCGCACCCCAAGCCCACACCACCCTGGTCAGCTTCTTTTGGAGATGTGCATGCTATCTGTGGATCAGTAAAATCTGGGCCTTATAATATTAGAATCTCTGTATTGGTTTAGGCTAAATGTGACATGGAGACTGCAGGTGGCGGGTGGACAGTAATCCAGAATCGGCAAGATGGCTCAGTGGACTTCAACAGAACATGGCAGGAATACCGGGAGGGCTTTGGAAATCTGCAAGGAGAACACTGGCTGGGTAACGCAGCGTTGCATGCCCTTACCTCCAGTGGCCAACACCAACTCCGCATTGAGCTGGAGGACTGGCACCAGCAGAGGCGCCAAGCCACCTACAGCAACTTCAAAGTGGCCTCGGAGGCACAGAGGTGAAGCACTCTGCACACAGATATATTTTCTGTGCTAAGGGATTAAAGTTACCTGGGGATTAGACCAAAGGTCAGAAAAAGAGAGACTTGAGTCTGGAAGTCAGCTACAACAAAAATGTATTTATTTTATCTTCAGTCACAATCTTATTTGCTTTCATGTATTAACAACAGCCATGAAAACTTGTTTTCCCAATCACTTTTTTCTTAAGTATGAACTGCACGTTTACACGAACAGACAAGGTTCTGAATATTTCAGTCAAAATGTGATTAATGTCCTGAGAGATGTGTGTTGTTTTTGTATGGCTGCCAATCAGTTTTGATCAAACTACATCCTGAAGCAGATCAGCAGAGTTAATAAATTAAAAGTTAAAGTTTTTAACATTACCTTTCAAACTTTAGCAAAGGCAATTAATGTCTTCGCCTAATGTCTTTATGTAATTCAAATGGCCATCTTTAACTTACTTTAAACTGTAGTTTTTGAAGTTTTCACTTTTACCTATAATCAGTTATTTGCATTCTAGTTTTCCACATATACGATAGTCTACATAACACTATACAAGCTAGGAGACTTGTATATCCAGGACTCTTTCCATTATCACCCATTCACTGTCTTGGTGTGGCTGTGACTCAGGATGTAGAGCAGGTCATTTACTAATTGGAAGGTTGGTGGTTTGTGATGGTTGCTAGAAGTGTGAATGTTTGCTAGAAGGCACTTCAACACAGCCAAAAGTGCTTGTATCAATGGGTGAATGAGACGTGTTATATAAAATGCTTTGATTGCTCAAGTAAAGTAGAAAAGTACTGTATAAGAATCAATCCATTTGCCATCTTGCCGGGAGTGTGAAATTAATATAAAACATAATTTTACTTGGCTTTTAACAAACAACACACACATAAAAACAAAACAAAAAAACCCCTCAAATGTTGTTTGTCTATCTTCCAGGTATCGCCTGACAGCACGGGAGTATTCTGGTGATGCAGGTAATGCACTGAGCTACAGTAAGCGCTACAACCACGACGGCAGGTCCTTCAGCACTGCTGACAGAGACTATGACCGTTACGTGTCGGGAAGTTGTGGTCAGTACTATGGTGCAGGCTGGTGGTTTGATGCTTGTCTGGCAGCTAATCTGAATGGACGGTACTACCGTGGGCGCTACAGCGGGGTAACCAACGGCATCTACTGGGGAACGTGGTACATCCTGACAGATGGACGAACTGGAGAGCGCTACTCCTTCAAGAGGGTGGAGATGAAGACAAGACCCAAAAACTTTATGGGAACAGACTAAAGATAATGATGTCAACATAATGGGGAAAATTTGCTGTGCAGTAGACTACAGTAATAATCACACCAGACACTTTCTTTCTTGTTTTATAATCGATAGATGCTTTGGTCACTATATTTAGCATTGCTTTCATGTCACTTATCAGTTATATGCAGATGGCAGCTAAAAGATTAAAAAAAAAAAGTGTAAAAGAAATAATGTTTAAATGCTGATTAGCAGACTGTGAAGCTCTACTTTCTTTATGATGGGCTCACTCTGGTAAAAAATACATGTTACTTCATAACTGTGAAACAGTTAAATACATATTGAAAATATTGCAGAGGTTGCTGTAATAAATTTCCAGAATCTTTATTGCACATCAACAACCTGCAAAAGGCTACCTTAATGTATCACAGGATGCCAGGGGAGGCATGTTTTCTCCGTGTTAACAGTTTAAGGACAAGACAAACAACCCAAACCACACATGAAAGTCATCCTTCACATGCATGAGTTAATACTGGTAATTTGCTTGTGTTCCTACCTGTCTATGCTCTGTGACCTACAGAAATACAAGCTGCCTGCAGCAGCTCACAGACATTGTAGGTCAGATGAAGTCATGGGAGACCGTTTACTAAAAGGCAAGAGGTCATCGTGTCCCTGCAGAGAGCTCAGCTGTTATATACACAACTAAAACTAAAACTTCATCACACTGTGATTCATGTGACAGGGTGTCTAACCACAGTCCCCTACTGTATGTTCTGCCTACAGCTGCTTTAATAGAAAGCCAAAGAGCCAAAGCTCACAGTCTGATACTAAACCAAGAGTAGCCCAGTTTTAGACAGGCCATCTCACCTGACTAATACTTTCCCAGGTAGAGGTCTAACACACTGACGCTAACTCTCAGGACCTTCTTTTTTTCCTTTTCTGTTGGCAAACCGTCCTCCACCCACCTCTATTAAATCAAACACAAACATACAGAAACAGTCACCCTCCCCTGGTCTCTAGAGTTGGTGTCAGCGGGGGTGATTCATCCACAGATGTGTTTCACGAAGACGTTTTGGGAGTAGGTATGTGAGTCAGTGGGTGTGTGTCTCACAGTCTTTGTAAAAGACTTTTTACTTTTAGCATTGTTTGCAGTGAGCTGTCAGTCTCTGCAACAAGCAGGCTGTCTAATGTGATCGTGTGACAGCGCTCTCATCTAAACACACAGACACACTGCTGTCAGACCTCCTACCTGTCAAAGTATTTCACATACACTACTTATCTACACACAAGGAGATGTCTGTTTTATGCACACACACAAACACACACACACACACACACACATGCACACACACACAGGAGTCAGTGGTTCTCTCAGCAGATAAGGAGGTGCATGATGTGCTTGGCTTCTTAAAAACAAATGGATCCCATTGTACACATCATGGGAAGGTAATCACTGTTACACAACCACAAGCTCCTTTTCACCTTTTCACCTGTTTCACACATAATATTGCACACACACACACACACACACACACACACACACACAGACTAACAATAAGCAATTATGATCAATCACCCATAAAACCTATTATACATATCAGCTTTCTAGTTTAATTTTCTCTGTGTGTCTTCGTGTGTGCTGGAAACAAAGCTGGATGGCTCTGTGTTCTGCCCCCTGGTGGCTCCTGGTTGTATTTTAGAGACTGAGAAAAGCTTTGTCTCAGCTGAAGATGAAATGTGAAGTCAACACAAAAGAAATTAAAACCAGGATAAAATTCTGTCAATCTAAATTCATTTTTTTTAATCTTTAAGAGATTCTGCCTGTATAGAGATGAACGTCTAAAAATCAAGCTCAGTATCTAAATCAATTTTCACTCTATGTCATCAATAAATGGAGCAAAAACCTTTTCCTACCACTTTCTGTTCATCATCACTCTCTATTTTTGCTTTCTATCACTTAATAAGAGTTTGACTGATGTTGTTCAGACCTTCTCAAATTTCCTCCTTTTTGACTCTTCATGCTCCGAGCTGCAACTGCTTTCAATAAATTCAATCACTCCTCCTGATCTCTTCTTCTCTCCTCCTTTCTGCATCCATCAGTCTTGTTGACAAGGGAGGAACAGACGCCCAGGGTTGTGTCACCACAGTATCCTGGCACAGTGTCTGGAGTGGGGTGATAGTGGTGGTGCGGAGGGGTGCGGAGGGGTATCAGCAGGCTCTGCTGCCCCAGGGCCGGAAGCCCAGACTGGGCAGCGGTTAGCCAGCACATCCCTTTGAGAAACACTGTGCTCCTCTGAGGGAAGTTCAGATATGTGTCATTTATTTCTAAGTGACACAAGAAAATATCAGATTTAAAACAGAACTCATGTTAGTAGTAGTGTGTTCATCTTTCTGCAGGAGGCTCTATTTTTATTTTTATTTATTTTTGTGGTGCTTATAAAATATGTTTTTATAATCTTTCACATGATGTAGAAAATTTAGAACAGCCCATCTGGTTACAAAAACTTAAAAATATAATATGATCTCAAATGCCCTATGATAGACTCTTAACCTATCTTGGGTAAGTCCTGCATCTCACCTTATGAAAGCTGGAACCTGCTCAAGCCCCATTGTGACCCTGAAATGGATGAGCTCTTATAATATGGATAGGTGGCCAATAATCACTGCAAATGGGGGGGAAAAAGTTTCCCAATCAAATAATCTGTTTATCCAGGTAATATCCATCAGTCCACCAAACGTTAATAATAATCAGTCTCAGTTTCTCTTTATATCATATTGAAATGCAGAGTAAGACTTCACAAAACACTTCAATATTTCACCCTGGAAACATTTTGTGTTTTTCCTCAGATTTGGCTCCAAAATGAATATAATCTCTCTTCACACTCAAAGGATTTTTTAAGAACATGGATGAAGGCAGAGAGAGTTTTAAATGTGGGCTGCCCCTTTTTTGACTGCTGAAAATGACTGAAGTTGTAGGAATGTGATATTCCCATCCATGTGTTTAACAGCAGGTGGCAATGTTGCTTAGAGCAAATCTGGAAAACAACTTTCACATGAGAAACTGCACAGTAGTCTATAGCAAACAAGGCAAACAAAGTGTCTATAGAAATGAGAGAACAATAGCAACACTGTGCTCTGTCAGAAAATAAACAGCCGGAGACAATAACTGTGCTTAACCTACAGCCTGTTTATGTGAAGTGCGATGAGTAAAAACAATAACTGAGGTCTTATTTTTTGAAGCCATATATGTTATTCCGAATTATTTCAGGGGTTTTGATAAGTTTTGTTCAACTCATAAGGTTTCAGAGAACCGCTGAAAGCACAACAGCCCTGACTTGACTGTAAGCTTCAGGTTGCCGTGCCTCTTTTCAACACTGGGGGCGCCATAATTGGTACTGGAGGTCAAAGGACAAAATCTGCTCATAGTGATGTAAGTTTTTGAAATTAAGACTTTACAAAATTACAAAACAGGTGTGTTAATGTGGACTGTGGTGTAAATGAGCCTCGGGCTCAGCAGCACTGCATAGTAGAAAAGAATCTGGTGAGGTGACAGCATGGAGGAGGCGGGAGGATGAACTTAGTGGCCTGCAGTGGAAGGAACTTTTCATACTTTAACCTGCTCTCATTGCGATAAGGGCATGCATGGCGGCTGTCAAGTGCAAGGAAAGTAGGAGGAAGGCTTGAGGGTGGGGAGGAAGCAGGAGCGGGTGAGGTTTGAAAGGTGTGTGAGTATAACAGGCCGTTAGAGGCTTGTTTCCCTGACCACAGGACCACTGAGAGACAGCATGTGCCTGCTTTTAATACTGGTCCTACAAAAAACCAGAGAAAGGCAGCGTTCCGTTTGAAACCGGAATTCACCAGAACAAGTGTATCCTGATGTGGTGAGGAGCTGAGGTGAGGAGGGGAGAGGAGGGAGGGAGGGCTCAGAGGGCGCCAAGTGGCAGGCCTCGCTCCATCTTTATGCATGAATGTGCGCATGAAAGTGGAGGTGGAGAGGGTTTGCAGGCAGGGAGCGGAGGCACTGCAGGGTTTTTTTCTAACACAAAAAACAACAACTTTTAATTAACTAAATATTTATGTGATTAACATTCAGCATGTTTAAAATCTTTTGGAGACTAAAATTATTGCAGTGCTTGCTGGTACAGCACTTTTTTTAAATCAAAAAGTTGAATACTTGTGAATAAAGTCAATAAGCTTTACATCAAAATTAGTCATTCATGACATTTAAATTTTATGTAATCAGTTATAATAGTTTTGATAAAACAGTGTTTGATGAACTTCTGGTATAATAAGAAAGCTTCACTTGATACTTTAAAGCAGCAACTTCAACATTAGATTAAAGTTGACCACTTGCGTATTAAATGTGCTGCTCATAGAAATGAATCTTCAGTGTTTTTAACACAGAAGGAAGCTGGTTCACTGATTCACTCACATGTGTATGAATATACATGCTCACAAGCACTTTATTAGAAACACCACATTAATGCTATCATTGATGCTGTGTAGGTGCTTCATTTGCTCATCTTTAGCTGCCATCCTGCAAATGTGTCTGCTGCACAGCTGTGATACAAATCTCCTCATTCTAAGATCTCCCAAAGGCATCTTACTGGTTTCACATCTGCTGAGTGGCCAGGCCTTTGCCTGCTGCCCTGTATAGCCTCAGTCTCTTTTAGCGAGTACAGGAGAGGAACATGGCGTGCTCTCAGTGTCGTGAATTATTGCTCCAAAGCGCTTTACTTCCATCAGCATTTACGTCTCATGCAATTCCATAATAATCCACCTCTGATGTGAGGGAAAGACGGAGAAAATAACAGGAGAGGGGGTGAAACGATTGAGAGTGCTGATCAGGCAGACTCCAAATCAAAGGATTATCTAATCTGATAATACCTGCTGACAACAAAATTCATGCGGGCGACCTCCAGGGGGTCAGAAGCAGCTCATCATAATATACCAGGAAGACCTTTCACAATTAATAATCCAATAAATCCTTTAAATATGCACACTGTGCTTGTCAAATTATGAAATATGAATACTGAGAGAGAAAGAATGAATGTGCGTACATGTGTGCATGAGCATATGTGTGTGTGTGTAAAGTTCAGTATGAAGGATGTGGTAAAGCAGCCCAATGGTCAGCTGTGTTTCTCTTCTCTCTGTAGCTTTCTCTCTTGCACCTGCAGAAAGTTGTGGCAAAGAGGGAAAACACACACACAGACACACACACACACTCTGTCACTGCACTCTGATGACTTCACTGTCTTCTGCCTGAGCAGCCGCAAAAGCCACACTGAATTTCTGTAAATGCTACGAGATTTTCCTTTGTTATTGTGTGTGTGTGTGTGTGTGTGTGTGTGTGTGTGTGTGTGTGTGTGTGTGTGTGTGTGTGTGCGCTGTAGGCATCTTTTTACACAAAGACCAAGTAAGAGACAGGAATGGATCAGGTGTCTTTTTTTCAGCGCCTCTGTGTCTGATGTGCGTGTGACATGTAGGATAGGTTAGCTCTGTAGAATCAGCTTAAGCCAATCAGAAAGTCTGGGGATTTATAGACGGGAAATCATTGAGGATCAGACACAGAATGAGCAGACAGATGCAAAAACACACAACACCACCATGTGTACCAGAACATATGCACATGTAGATGCAGAGCATGCAAAAAATGCATGTTTGGTCCAAGGGTCTCGAGCCTGTGGCTCCCAGAGCCACATAACAAAAAACTAGCTGATTAATAAGATGAATGGAAATTAAAATTTTTTAAAGCATTTTAAAATCGGTTGGTAATAAAGATGACTGCTGTAAGTTCATAACAGCAACAAAACATGATATTACTGCATGCAAATGCAACATTAAATTAGATAAATAAGCTGTGTCACTCTCGTCATAAAGCTAGAATATGTTTTGCAGCTCCAGACTGATTTCTTCTGGTCAAAACTGGTTCTTTTGATTGTAAATTTCTTATTGAAGCCCTCATAAAATCCATCAAAGTCTCTGTCATATAGATGGTGATAAATTTCCTCTGGCTATTTCTGGAGGTTAACTTTACTTGATTTAATCTGTGAAAAACTCATTAAAGATTCCTGG